GCTGAACTTAGTAGCGTTCCTTGGCCATGTGATATCTGACGAGGGTATTAGTGTCGACACTCATAAGATTGATGCAGTAAAGAATTGACCGAGACCTACAACACCATCAGAAGTCCGCATCCTAGGGCTAGCAGGATATTATAGGCGGTTTGTAGAAGGGTTTTCCTCTATATCATCACCATGATAAGGGGATAACCAATCCATCCCCAAAATGACATTGAAATCCACCATATTGAGAAGTAGGAGATCTACGCTAGTCCCAAGACCCCCAATAACAACCACACACGAATGATAGACACGATCTACCACAATAGAATCACCCACTGGTATAGACACATATACAAGAGCACTCGAAGAATTACGAGGCACAACCAGATAAGGGGCAAAATAAGATGACACATGGGAATATTTGGACCTTGAATCAAATAGAACTGAAGCATCTCTACTGCAAACTGAAACCGTACCTTTGATAACTACATCGGAGGCCTCAACCTCAAGTTTAGTTGGAATAGCATAACATAGGGGCTGGGGCCCACCACTCTGAACTACATCCCGAGGACGGCCTCCTACTGGCTGGCCTCCACCTCTAGCTGTCTAACCTCCACCTCTAACACCTCGACCCCTACCTCTAGCTAGCTGAGCGGGCTGTGGAACACTTGGTACTAGAACCATAGCACGAGAACCTTGGTGGTGAGAACTACTCGAAGCTCGAGGGAAAAACCTAACAATGTGCCTCACATCACCACATGTATAACAATACCTTGGCTGCTAAGACTGCTGACCCTGGAACTAACCCTGACGGCCTGAGTAACCACCATGCTAACTCTGGAGCAGAGGTGCATTGAGAGGAGCTGGTGGTGCACTGTAGGGTAACATATCAGAATACTGCATATGAGAACCACGGCCACCTAGAGCACCGTGAGAAGTCCGGAGTGCTCAATTAAACGGCCTGGGAGGATGAGCCCTACCAAAAGAATCTCTGCCTCCGGATGAGGCACCACTGACCCTGCCAGAATGACGGGGCCTCTTGTCAGACCCCTGACCACTACCCTGCAATAGAACCATCTTATCTCATCTGGCCACATTGGCTGCATCCTGGAAAGAAATCTCACTCCCGTCTCCTTAGCCATCTGCAATCTAATAGGCTGAGCTAGTCCCTCGATAAACCTCCTCACCCTCTCTCTCTCTCGGTGGGAAGTATAATAAGAGCATGACAGGCCAAGGCATAGAACCCTGTTGGAGGCGCTCAAACTGCCTCCGATAGTCCTCTATCTGAGTGATAGGAAGAAACTTCTCCAGAAATAGCTGGGAGAACTTGTCAAAAGTCAAAGTTGGTGACTCAGCTGGTCTAGCCAAACAATAATCTCTCCACCAAGTCTTAGCGGAACCTGACAGACAAAATATAGCAAAGTCGACTCCATTAGTCTCCACTATCCCCATGTTCCGTAGAACCTCATGACATTTGTCGAAATAGTCCTGGGGATCCTCCAAAAGATGTACTGCCATAAGTAGTGGTGAAAAGCTTGGTGAACCTGTCCAACCTCCACAAAGCATCAGCAGACATAGCTGCTCCATCACCGGTCTGAGCTACAACACCCAGCTGAACTACCCCAGCTGGCTAAGCTGCTGGAGTTTGAAACTGAAGAGCCATCTGCTCTAGAGTATGGGTAGCGGGAGTCTGTGCTCCTCCCCCAGCCTGAGAGATGGCTGGTGCTACTGGAAGTAAGTCTGTCTGGGCAAAACTCTCCATAAGGCCCACTAAACGGACCAGAGCATCCTAGAGTATCGGGGTAGCGATGAACCCCTCTGGGACCTGAGTTGGCCCTGCTGGAACGGTCTGGGTTGGAGCCTCCTCCTCAAACTCTACCTGAGGCTCTGCCACTGGTGCTACTGCTCTGGGCTGAGCCCTGCCCCTACCGCGGCCATTAGCACGGCCTCGACCTCGTCCTCTGCCCCTCGTAAGAGCTGCCACTGAGGGCTCAGGCTGCTGATCAGTGGATGAAGAAGCACATGTTCTCGCCATCTGCGAAAGAACAGAGTAGAAGTTTAATTAGCATTGAGAAATCAAATCGCACAACAGAGAAGAATAGATGTGAAGTCATTCCTAAACTTTGTAGCCGCTGGGAATAAGCACAAACGTCTCCGTACCGATACCGCAGACTCTACTAAGCTTGTCCATGAATTGTGAGATACAAGCAACCTAGAGCACTAATACCAACTTGTCACGACCCGAATTTCCCACCGTCGGGACCATGATGACGCCTAACATTGAACCCGCTAGGCAAGCCAATGTTTTTTATTATTTTACCTTTTTACTTATCTTTTAACAATTTACAAGTTAACATAAGAACAACGGCGGAATAAAAATACGGAAGAACGAAATTTAACAATTTAACTTAATACAAATACGAATCCATAATAAAACTCCACCCAAAACTAGTGTCACAATCTCACGGACTGTCTAAGAATACTACAAATAGTGGTCTGAACAAGGAAAAATACACATCTGTCTCAGAAATAGATAAAAACAGAATGGAAATATGATAGAAGGGGATGCCAAGGCCTGCAAATGCTTGATGGACTACCTCGGGTCTCCACTGGACTGAAGGCAGCAACCTCGAACTACGGACTATAGGGTCCAGTATCAGGATCTGCACAAAAGAGTGCAGAGTGTAGTATCAATACAACCGACCCCATGTACTGGTAAGTATCGAGCCTAACCTCGGTGAAGTAGTGACTAGGCTAGGATGTGACAACCATATAAACTTGTGCAGTTATATCATACAAGAAACAATAATAACAAGAATTTAGCAGAATAAGACGGGAAAAGGGGGGAACATGCTGAGGGGAATATCAGGTTATGACAATAATAAAGTAAAGAGACAAAGTAAATATCAAACTCGAAGAAAAGAAAATGATAACACAGTACCAAATGCACGGCATCACCCTTCGTTCTTTTACTCTCATACTCACCATAGAAATCAACACAAACGGCACATCATCACCCTTCGTGCTTTTACTCTCTCATAATCATGGTGCGACAACACCCTTCGTGCTTTTACTCTCAATAATATGGCACGGCATCACCCTTCGTGCATTAACACTTACAATATCGGCACGGCATCACCCTTCATGCATTAACACTCACTCATAGTATCATGCACGGCATCACCCTTCGTGTTTTGTACTCTTCCTCACCCAAACAAATGCAATAATAACATTCCGGCAAGGGAATCTACAATAGAAACAACAATAGAAACAATATCATCCAAGCAAAGGAATCAGCTATTGTCACACCTCCTTTTTACTACCTCAACTATTGTCACATCTTGGTAAGGAATTCTGTTAACCCGGGAGAAAGTGTTAGGCATTCCCGGGTTCCATGGTTTTAGCACAGTCTCTCAACTATTATTATCGGCCTAGTTATCTGATTTTTAAAACACTTTTAAACCTATGTGCATTTTTAACTTTATAACCGCTTTTAATACTTTTAGGACAATTCAAAGTTATTTAAAACGCATCGCAAGTCACGCTACATGAAATGCACCCACGGTTCATGACATGCTTTATTTAAACTTTGTTGGAAATTAGAAACGGGTCACATGAAATGTACACCCGGGCTTACAACATGTTTATTTTTATTATTATTAAAAATTATGGCAGGGTCACATAAAATGCACACCCGAATTGAGATTTGTGTATCGTGACCATATCACGGGAATCGTACCCATAGCCACAATGAATTATTATTAATCGCGCCAACCGTGCCAACAAAATGGTATGTTGAGAAAGCATTAACATTCTTGTACATTCACATAAACATATCAATTCCCAGTTACTCACTAGTGAATGTTCTTCTCATATAGTAGTTCTTAAGCTCAAATATGAAACAAAAATAAATCAAAACAGTTTGTTGTGATAATTACATTCATTGGATAATTAGTTCAAAGACAGAAGCATGTGTATCACATCTCCAAACATTAACAGAATAGATTTAGCAAACCCTCACACACGTTAATTATTCCAAAATCTAACCCATTTTCCTTATATGCCCAATAGAACATTAAAACATTCAATGAAACAGAATCTCTGGCCATTCAACATTCAATTATTAACAACATTCAATTTTTATGAAATACCAACTCCAACGTTCAATGAAGCAGAGCAATTAAAGATCTACTAATGAACGAAACAAAACATGATACTAATCCATTCATGAGAAAGAAATGTGTTAAGAGAAGGAAATGATTAAGAACAGATTATACATTAACTCAAATAACAAATAAAGTAAAGCAAACAAGGATTGACGGCAACGCATGAATTAGAACAAAATGACGGACCTTTTGCAGCTTTCAATTTAGCAAAGTGACCCCTGCCCATTTACAAAGAAGATCGGACCAATGAAGTTCAATACGAACGGATCTGTTAACCAAGACCACGTCGGAATCTCGAACTCGACGACTCGAAAGGTACACTCAACAGTTAACGCTCTCTACGAGCAAGCAATAGCCAAATTCCTAAATCTCTCATTGTGCTAATTAACAGGGGCGAGATTTAGAAGGCAAAGAAAAGCCGAATGAAGGCTAGATTCAGCAAGTTGGAGCTTAGCAATTCCACGGATCCAAAAAAAATAGCTTGACAGCAATGAAACTTAACAGCAGCAATATGGCCTTAAAATTGCCAAATAAAAACTCATAAACTGATACAAGCTGGAGCTCATCATTTTTCTTTGGTTTTTTGCTTTTCAGAGCTTTTTCTACTCTTTTTTAGATCTGGTGTTGATTTTTTGACTTTCAAACTCGTGTGTGTTTGTGAGTTTTTTTTTAGATGGGAATCAAGGGAGAGGGGGGGCCTCTTCTGTCCAGAAGAAGAGTAGAAGGCTGCTCATTTTTGCGGAGAAGATCGAGCTCAACAGCTGAGGGGTTTACTCTGTATTGCGGCTGCTTCCTTAGGCGTTAGGTCTTTAGCTAGCTGATCCTTCTCTCTTATTTTGTGCATAATATTGTATCTTTTATACTCCCTCCATTTCAATTTACTGAACCCATTTGATTGGGGACGGAGTTTAAGAAAAGAGCGAAGACTTTTGAATTTGTGGTGTAAAATGAGACACATATATTTTGTGTGGCTATAAATTATTACATAAAAGTAAATTGTTTCCAAATAAAAAAAGGAGTTATTCTTTTTGGCACGGACAAAAAAAAATAGACTTACAAGAAAGTATCTATCAAGTGAGTCTTGAAGAGAAAGAAATAAATCATGTGGCCCCATCCCCTCTAAAAAACGTGAGTTTTCTTCCAATCTCAAAATGGAATTGTGAAAAGATATTGTTAGGATGGATAAGAAAGGATTTTGAAGGAATATTCTGTGTTTGCTCTTTTCCCTTTTTTTGCATTTGCTTTCAAATAAAAGTATTGTAAATATGTAACTAGCTAAATAAAATAAATCAACAACACTACCACAAAAATATTATAATCATTGAGAGCTACTTAACAAAAACCTAAAGTTCCTAAAACTAGAGGAAACTAAAGGAAACATATTTTTTTTACACTTTCATTTCTTTTCTTTGCTTTTGTTTTAAATGAGTAATAAAAAATACCAATATAATAATAACTGTTATTTCTAGACCAAGTGAAAATATAAGGAAAACGACTAACTAGACTCAGGGAAAAGTCAAAAGTCATTAACTTATTTAGTAAAGCTAGATTAAAAGAAAATATATTTTGGCAATTTTTCCTTTTGCAAATGAAAACAAAGCTTAATCCTAAAATATAAGATTTTTTTTTTAGTTTTCACTTCTACGACAAAAATAAAGTAAAAAAAATTAAAATAGTTAAAATAGCATATTAGACCTAAAATCGACATTTAAGCACTAAAATGTATAAAATTTTGGGGAGGGTCAAAAATCACATGTCTACAGCTATAACCAATCTAGTTTCAGTAGTTACTTCACAAAATAAACCTCAACTTGAGCCAATACTCGACAATGATCAATTACTAAGAATTTATTATAAGTCTTGTTCCACAATGCTAATCATCAATTTAAGCATGAACAATACACAATAAAATCATAACAATCTTAATATAAGACTCACGGGCATGCTTGACACCAACGTATAGATACTCGTCACCTCACTTATACGTCGTACTCGACACTAACACATAGCAAATAAGACACAACACCTATTTCCTCAAACTAAGGTTAGGCCAAACACTTACCTCGGATTACACGCAAACTCAAGCCTCAAATATCGCTTTCCCTTTAGATTCCACTTCCAATTCAATTGTATTTAGCTAATATTAACTTATTAACATTAATTGAAGCTCAAGAAACCAATTCAAATGAAAAATTATAGATTTTCCAACATTCTTCCAAAAAGGTCAAAACCCGACCCCAGGTCTGCTTGGTCAAAACTCGAGGCTCAAACTAAAACTCGTTCACCCATTCACCCACGAGCCCAATATGCAATTAGTTTCGGAATCCGACCACAAATCGAGGTCTAAATCCTCAATTTGTAAAATCCCCAATTCTCCAAAGATCCCTAATTTCTACCTTTAAAGAACAAGATTTAGGCCTAGAAATCTAATGGGTGTTGATGGAAGATGAAAAAAATGGTTTAAGAACACATACCTATGATTTGGTGTTGAAACTTCTCTTCAAAAATCGCCCAAAGTCGGATTTTAGGGAAGGAGATATGAAATTACAAATCCCGACCTAGGTTCTATTTTTAATTCGCTGGACAGACCTTCTTCGCGTTTCGCGAAGCATTGGCTAGAAGAGCCTCCGCATTCGCGAGATATTGTACGCGTTCGTGAAGGCCCATCCCCCTGACCTTCCTGTTCACGAGCCAATTGCTGCGTTCGCGTAGAGTATTTTCCCCCTTCCCCGGGTCCCTGCTAGAATGGCCTTCGCATTCACGATAGCTAGGTCGCATTCGCGAAGGGTAACACCCCCAACTCTCCGACTTCATGACATGTGTCTCGCTTTCGCGTAGAAGGAATTTCCTTCAAGCAATTTTTACTATTCGCATTCGCGAGAGTTCCTTCACGAATGCGAAGAAAGAACCATCTGTGCACCTGCAACAACAACAACAGAAATTTCTAAGTCCAAAACATCCCGAACCCTATCCGAAACTCACCCAAGTCCTCGAGGTTCCAAACCAAACATGCACACAAGTCTAAAAAGATCATATGGACTTACTCATGCGATCAAATCGCCAAAATAACACCTAGAACTATGAGTTTAGCATCAAAATCAAAGAAAAATCTCAATAACTCTTAAAGTTTCAATTTCAAAATAGAGGGTCCGATTCACGTCATATGAATTCCGTTTCTTACCAAATTTTATAGGCACAACTTAAATACCATATTAATCTTGTACCGGGTCCTGGATCCAAAATACGGGTCTGATACCATCAAATTCAAACATCTTTAAATTTCCAAAAACTTTTATATTTTCAGTTAAACAATTTTTAAAAAATAATTTATTTCTCGGGCTAGGGACCTCGGAATTTAATTCCGGGCATATGTCCAAGTCCCATATTTTTCTACGGACCCTCCAAAACAGTCAATTACGGGTCGGATCCGTTTACCCAAAATATTGACCGAAGTCAACTTAAATTCAATTTTAAAGGTAAAACTAGTATTTTTCTCAAATTTTCACATAAAGGCTTTTCGGATATACGCCTGAACTGCGCACGCAAATAGAGATGAGACAAAAGGAGGGTTTTAAGGCCTTGAAACACAAATTTGACTTTTAAATCAAGAGATGACCTTTTGGATCAACACAGCTGCAATGTCCGGGTAGCCAGCTCTGTCACCTGTCGACCATACTCATGCAAAGCAACCGCCGGATCGCCGGCATGATGCTGCATCTGCAATCCCAACTGGTGGAATAAATGTAGATCAATAGCCTGCACAATATGTAAAATATAAATTATAGAACACTATATCACAGTTATAAGTAAGAATACCAAATAACATACCAGTTCCGCGTGCCTCCTGGCGTATGGAACGTACCAACCGCCAGCTTGATGAATGGGATTCCCGACAAAAAGTCGGGTAACGCGGCGGTAACAGGACGTATAGAATTGAATAGTCGTCGTCTGGATCTGTGAAAGTGGGGGCGGAACCAGGTCTTCTTGTCGGTCCCAAGTATGGACCTGCGCCTCTAGCCATGCTACAAATGCGTCGTCCGCCCTGGAACGATCATCCCGCTGATAATGTGTAGCCTCCCATATAGGCCCCCTCGCTATATTCTACGGTCGACCAAACTGGCAAAGTACCCGCTCTGTGGCATGATGCTCCACAATATCGAGGCACATCAGCGGGACGAAAGTGCTCCAAATCAGTCGGCCGGCCGAGCAATAATCGGGCAGGCCACCTATCAAGTTGTCGTGGTATGGCATCCAAATGAACTATCAAATAAGAACATAAAAGTGAGTATGCGCAACACAAGTAAATCTATACCAAGTAAGTTTAGGTACACATTTAACTGTGTGCCCTCCAACATATCACACATATCCCTGCAAATGGGAAGATTATGATGAGCATCATAATCTCGTGCATATCCACGCTGGAGAACCCACCTCCTAGCTAGAGGGAGAAACGGAGGTGGTACATTCGGAGGTAATTGTGGTAGAGGTGGTTGCAGCTGCAGAAACTACTCTCAGGCCCAAACCTAACATACAATGTTGACGTAAAGTTTAAGATAAATTTTGACTAGATAGAATTGGAAGTAATGAACAGAGTATTCGAATATATTGTCACCTGTAGAAGCGGCAGAAAATCACATACGTTGCTTTGGGTGCCCATGCTCGCCCAGCATAGATGCCTATATATGTAAGCGAGAACAACAACACCCCAGCTATACTAGGGTAAATCATCTAGCAGCTGAAGATGATGTAGAAATCGCAAACTCACAAGATTTTCCGAAGTGTTCTGGAACAAGACCCCCCCCCCTCTCCGAAAAAAAAGAAGGAGCAGCACTAACCTTGTACATCGGTGAATATGTAGATCATCTGTCTCGCTGGTGATGTCGGGGTGCAATATCTCCAAATGCCGTCTAATAGCTGTCAAACTGGTGCGACTGGACCCTGAATGTACAGTCTCATCCTGTGGCCTGAAACTAGTGAGCTACTGCAGCAAGTCCAAATACTGCACACGCGTCATATATCTCATACCCTGAGGCAGTGCACCGGCCAGTCCATCAACAGGCATCCCATATAAAACCTCCACGTCCTGCAGCGTGATGGTGGCCTCGCCAATGGGCAGGTGGAAAGTGTGCGTCTCTGGTTGCCACCGCTCTATCAAGGCCGTGATCGAAGACCAGTCGAGCTGTAGCCGCCCAATCTCAAAAATCCTATAAAAGCCCGTATCTCGCAGGCGCTGGACTACACGGGGATGGAAATCTCTGCCCCTCATAAAGTCCCACAAGTCTTCCACTCTCCTGGCGCAGAGAGGTTGGGTCAGTAGCTTTCTCTCCCATGCATAGGCGGACATATCATCACCCTGTAACACTAATAGCTCATCGGACACAGGTCTAGAATGCACAGGCGGCACGTCCATGTCGTCTACTGTAAATTAAACAATATTAATTGTATGTTTATTTTATAAATTAAATAATTAATTTTTGTAAATAGTAATTGGATAGAGTATATACCTATTGTCTCCAGGCTCGATATTTGAGGACTTGTAGCACCAAGCTATCCTGAATTTTTATGTGTGTCAATTTTAATATTGTTCTTAATTTTGTAGTTTGTTTTATTAATTAAATAATTAATTTTTTAAAATTGTAATTGGACAGAGTATATACCTATGGGTTTCAGGATCGATATTTTAGGCCCAGTAGCACCAAGCTATCCTGAATTCTTGTATGTGTCAATTTCAATATTTTTCATAATTTTGTGTGTTTGTTTTATAGATTAAATAATTATCTTTTATAAATTGTAATTGGATAGAGTATATACCTATGGGCTCCAGGCT